CAAATTCAATGGATCTTCTAGAAAGGTAATTAATGGCGTTATAGCGCCCATTTCGCTCGTGTATGACGCCAAGGGGTGGCGCTATAGCACACACATAGATCTTCAATTTTGCTCTATTTTACCCTCATTTTCACTAAATGTACATTTCATGTACCTGAAACAAAAAACATGCAAAATAACTTTCTTTAAAATGCAATATTATAAAAAATATACATAAAATGCTTATAAAATATGCACATATTTTCCTCTGGTCAAAATCACCCAAACTTTGGATCTGATGACAACTGACTTTTTAAGATCAGTATCAAATCCTGATCAGACCCAATACAATAACCAGCTTAGGATTTACGCACTTTCGCAACAGGAAGTTAAGGACTTTCTTAAAGTTATCACATGTAAGTTTTACATTTAAGAATTTTTAGCCTATTATATCATTAATCATAATATAATTCATATCATGTCATGTCATTAATTACATCATTTAAGAATTTAAAAGCATTAATAAGTCAAGCCTAAATATTCAATGAAATAGTCTTAATGATATGTTTTATATATCTTTAGAATAGACCAATAAGAGCATTATTTGATTCAGGAACATCACATTCTTTTATAATTAAGGAATTTTTTAAAGTGATGCAATTAAATAACACCTTAATGGTTGTGATATTATCTGTTAGAATATCAAATGATACTTCTATGGAAGTCAATCTATTATGTGAGGTAAAGCAATGATTTGTGAAAAGGATTTTGATGCATGACTGATTGTGTTACCCTTAGTGGTCTTTAAAGTAATTTTATGGATGAATTGATTGTCTAAACACTATCACAATTCATTGCAATAAAAAGTCTTAAAATAAATGTACATGGGGAGTCAAAAGTTAAATTTTGTGGTGATAAAGGGTTGACATCCATGATAATTACATGTTGAAAGCTTTCAAATTATTAAATCATGAAAATTAAGGTTTTCATGCTTAGGCAACATATATCTATAAGTGAACTCTTTGGGTGATATTCCAATGGTAAGATAATATCCAAAAATTTTCTTGATGATTTACCAAGGTTACCAACAGTGCCAAAGATTGATTTTACTATATAGCTCTTGTCAGGTTCTAAGCTTGTATCAAAGACACTCTACAAAATGATAATTAAAGAGTAACAAGAGTTGAAAAGTTAATTGCAGGAATTACTAGATAAGTGGTTCATCAGGCCTAACGTTTCACCTTGGGGTGCTCCATTATTATTCGTGAAATAGGATGATAGCTTGAGAATTTGTATTGACTGCAGTGAGTCGAATAAACTCACAATTAAAAGTAAATACCCATTACTGATGATTGATGACTTCTTTGATCAATTGGAATTGACTTCTGTATTTTCAAAAATTAATCTAAGGGCAGACTATCACCGGTTGAGGATTACAGAGGAAGATATAACAAAGATGGCGTTTAGGACCACATATGAGTACTATGAATTTGTGGTGATGCGATTTGGACCGATTAATGCTTCGAAAATTTTTATGAATCTCACGAGCAGTGACTGCAGACAGTTTTTGGATGTTTTTGTGATTGTCTTTATAGACGATATCCTGGTAGATTTTAGAAATGAAGTCAACCCTACATATCATTTGCATGTTGTATTGTAAGTTTTGAAAAAGAATACACTATATGCCAAATTTTCTAAACGTGAATGTTAACTTAAAAAATGTGGCTTTTCTTAGGCATATAATCAATGACATGATATATCCACGCATTATAATAAGATCGAGGAGTTTGCATATTGGGCAAAACCTATTGTTACTGAGGTCAGGAGTTTTCTTAAAGTTGGTCAGTTATTACAGGTGATTTGTAGAGATATTTTCAAATATTAATATTTCATTATTCAGATTAACTCAAAATACAGTGAAGTTTGATGGGACTTATCATTTTGAAGAGGTTTTTTAGATGTTGAATTCTTGTTTAATATTTGCTCTAGTATTAGCTATTCCTCCGGGATCATATGAGTTTCAAATTTTTAGCGACGCATCTTTAAAAGGTTTTGTTTGTGTACTTATGCAACATAGAAGGGTCATTATCTATGCTTCAAAGTAATTGAAGACATGAAAGAAATTATCCCACATAATATTTGAAACTTGCAGCAGTTGTGTTTGCACTTAAGATATAGAGGCACTATTGGTGGGGGGTTAGGTATTTTCAGGTCTTCAGAGTTTAAAGCATATTTTTACTTAAAATTGAATCCCAGTTAGAGATGGTTGAAGTTTGTTAAAGATTCTGATTTGGATATTCAGTTCCATCCGTGAAAGGCAAATATGGTGGCAGATGCACTGAATAGAAAGACTTCAAGTAATTCGAACTATTTATTTACTCAGCAGAAGCAGCTAGTTAAAGATTTAAAAAATCTAAATCAATTTGTAATTAATTATGGTAATGAAAATATGATTCAATTAAATCAGTTGATTGTGCAATCCACTTTGAAAGACAAAATCAAATATTCATCATTCAGAGATAACTGTGTTCAAAAAATCCTAGTGCAGGTTAAGGCAGACAATTTAGAAAAGTATGTGTTAGATTTTGATGACTTTTTGAAATATTAAGACTGTTTATGTTCCAAATGTTGATAATTTGATACGGAATATTTTAGAAACACACTTATCTTACTATAATATTCACCCAAAGAGTAATTAAATATATCAGGAGTTTAAAGATACAATTTGTTGACTAGGATTGAAGAGGAGTGTTGTAGAATTGGTCGTTAAATGTTCTACATTTCAGCTAGTGAAGGCATAATATCAGTGTCCTGGAGGTCAATTACAACCTTTACTAATTCCAGAGTGGAAATGAGTGGAGATTGCTATGGACTTTGCATGTAGATTGCCTGGGGCGCAACAGGGTCGTGATGTTATTTAGGTAATTGTTGACAGATTGACCAAGTTTGCCAATTTCTTGTCCATTAGACATACAAATCCAATTGATAGATCAACCAAATGATATGTAGATCAAATTAAAAAATTGTATGGAGTGTCAAAGTCTATTATCTTTGACAGAGATGCCAGATTTACTTCCAGGTTGTGGAAGAAGACTCAGGATATTTTTGGCACACGATTGATTTTTAGTATAACTATTCATCTTTAAACCAATGACTAGTCATAAAGGATCATTCAAACTTTGGAGGATCTACTAAAGTTTTGTGTCTTTGACTTTCGTGAAGGATGAGAATCACATATGTATACCTTTTGTGGAGTTTACTTACAATAACAATTACTAGACTAATGTTGATATGACTCCATATAAAGCTTTGTATGGAGGAATGTGCATTACACATGTTAGGCTTAAACAAGAGAAAGAAAGATCATCGAAGCTGACTTGATCGGTGATGTGATTAAAGAGATTTGGCTGATTAGAGATACATCAAAGGCAATGCAGGTTAGACAGAGGAAATACTATAATGCTAAGCACATATCTATTGAATTTGATGATGTAGAGTTTTTTTTTTTATTAAAGTTAGGCATTTGAAGGGCGCGCAAAGATTTGGAAAGACAAAAAATTGAGTCCCAAATATGAAGGCTCCTATGAATATGTGGAAATGATTAGAAATGTGACTTATAGATTAGCTCTATCAGCTCATATGGTGGGAGTGCATAATGTTCTTCACAATTTTTCACTTAAAAAGAATATTTGCAAATGAATTAAGTAGGATTATAGCAGAGTCTATTGATAAACAGTTTGATTTGACTTATATAGAATAGCCTGCAATGATTCTAGAATATGATGTTAAGAAGCTTTGTAATACGGAGATTCTATTTGTTAAGATTTTATAGAAGCATGGATTGGAGAATGATACTATTTGGAAGAAAGTTACTAATATGCAAGGAAGATATCTTTAGCTTTTTATTTGAGGCATGTTTACTTTTATATCAAACCTTTTCAAATTTCAAGGGCAAAATTTTTATGAGGGGAGATTGGGACTTTAACACTTTGATTTTAAAGTAGCCCAAATGGTTAAAATTCACAAAGCTAGGGTTTTAGAGATGTCTGACAATTAAGGATTTGCTTGCGGGTCTTACAAATATGATTTTAAAGAAGTTATAAATTGATTTTTCTTGTTCTGGAAGATAGCTAAACTGATGAAGATATTTGAAAATTTGCACATTGAATTGGTTTGATTAGGTTGAGCCCTTCATTAGCACACAAAGAATTATGGATGCTGATTTTGTAATATTTTGACCATTGTATGTCAATCAATTACAAATATTTGACATCTGAAGTCCTCAAAGCGATGTAACCTAGCTCTTTGATTCATTGAGGTAAAAATGAGGTTCTATGTCCTTCACAGAGCTGCAAATGTTGACTCCCTTGAGTTTGTGAAAATTTCGGATCTGAAAAAATATTTATAAATATTTAATCTTTGAGCTTTGTTGTGAATTTTTCAGACCTGCAAAGAAATCTCTTGAGTTGTTTTCTTTTGTTTGCCTTTTCAACTTTTTCTGTGGAATTGTTTGGTCCTTGAACTTTGATGGAACATCATTCAATGCATGAGGAAATATCTATTTAAGTCCTTTCTTCTGGATTTATTTGCTAGCCGCTGCAATTGACCTTATGTATATACTTTGCTTCTTTCAGGTGAATGCAGTGAAGTTCAATGAGTATGGATCTGTGGTCGTATCGGCTGTTTATGATTGTTCTTTTTATGATTGTTCTTTGAGGGCATGGGATTGCAGATCTCACAGTACTGGGCCAATTCAGGTTTGCAATTTAGAAATCTTAGTAATTAGATAAGGCACCCAACATTCTGTTCATCATAGTGTAATAAATTGTAATTCACTTATGATAAATAACTTATGATTTATTTTCAGATTATTGATACATTTACAGATAGTACCATGCCTATTTGTTTGACAAAAACTAAAATTATAGCTAAAGTGTTGATGGAACTGTTCACACAGACCTGTAATGGTGGGCTCTCTCTTGAGTTTGTGAATATTATAGGATTAAACGAATATTTGATAAATATTTAACCTTTGTGCTTTGTTGTGAATTTCGCTGACCAGCAATGAAGTCTGTCGAGTTGTTTTCTTTTATTTGTTTTTCACTGCATGAGGCAATATCTATTTAAGTCCTTTCTTTTGAATTTAATAATTTAATTGCAAGCCGTTGCAATTGACCTCATAGACAGGCTTTGCTTCTTTCAGGTGAATGCAGTGAAGTTCAATGAGTATGGATCTGTTGACCGTATCGGCTGGTTATGATTGTTCTGTGAGAGCATGGGATTGTAGATCTCATGTTACTGAGCCAATTGAAGTTTCCAATTTATAAATCCAAAGTGATTTGATAAGGTTCCCACCATTCTGATTATTAGATTGTAGTAAATTGTAATTCACATATGATAAATAACTTGTGATTTATTTTCCCATTATTTTCACATTATTTTCACATTAATGTCATGTCTACTTGTTTTACAAAAAACTGAAATTATAGCTGACGGTGTTGATGGAACTGTTCACAAGGTTGACATTCAAATTGGTAGGAGAGTAACTTGGATAGAATCACATCAGTGAGTTCTTATTATATTTATTTCTTTTTTCATTATTTTCCTCTTGCTAAATGCATACTTTATAAGTTTAGTTCCTTAATCTTTTCAATATCACAAACTAGAGATCTTGTTGACGACTTGAAGTAGCCGGTTAGTTGTATCTCCCTGTCAAATGATGTTGTTAACTGCTTAGATTCTACCCTCCGTAGACTTGACTGGTGAGAAAAAATGGCAAACAACAATTCCCTTATATTAACTCTTAAGCTTCTTACCAAATAACTTATTTTTAAAGGCAGGATCACTGGTGAACTCCTACAAAAGTACAAGGGGCACAATTATAAGGCATGAGGATCCGCAGTTAATTGAGCTTATGTCACTAATTTTTCTGATATGTTTTTTAAGCTTATGGATCCTTCTTTTGACCCAAAATTTAATCGGGAGGTTAATTTTAAAGTAGACCACCTTTACATGTTTCTTTCGAGCATTTTTGTTTATGAGGAATTTCTGTATTGGTTTGTGGCCATACATAATAGACGTAATTGGTGGATCTCAGGTTGGTCATATTTATTTCTGGGATTTAGTTGATGCATCTGTGGATTCATAATTCCGGGCACATTCCACTATTGTAAGTTCATATTACTTGATTAGCTAATCTATTTACACATAAATTGCTTGACAGGCTTTCAACTTTTGATTCCTTTACTATGCTTAAGCTTCTTCATCTATGGTCAATTTCCTTAGAGTTTGCATTACTTCTATAACTTGTCTTTTATGGACAGATCAGTCTTCTTTGGAGTTTGTTGGGGTTTGTTGCGTCTATTGATATTACTCGGAGTAAAACTCTGTTTTTTTTTTTTTTTGCTGGGGTTTGTTACGTCTATTGGTATTACTCGGAGTAAAACTCTGTTCTTATTTTTTTGGTAAATATAAAAGTTGAGAAATTCAAATTTATGCACACTTAATGCAGGACATCCAAGATATTGTAAATTTGTCCAACATCAAGCCCTTTGCGTCAAGATCCTATATTAGAAATTTGGAATAACAATACGATCAAAATATAAATTGCAAACAACATTTTAGTGAAATTATAAATAATAGAAGGTGAAACAATAAATATAAGATAAATCAGTTAATAAAAGAAGTTAGAAAACGTACACATCTTTTTCTGCATTGTCAGATGAGTGACTAGAAGTTGAACTTAAAATTTCTTTATGTAAACTACCACCAAATTCATGCTCATTAAAAATAATTTCTTCCATTGCATCCTTATTATCCTCTAAAATTATTTCTTCAAGAGTAAAATCAAATGGAATGTAAAAATTTGGTATTTCTTCTTCATGATGAGCAGGTTCAATAATATTTTGAATCGCAGTTGTCGTTATGGGTTTACTCTTGATGATTACTGCCCAATCAACTATATATTTTGCTTTATCAGAGTATCGAAAATAATATACGCAACTCGCTTATTTTGCTAAAACGGAAGTATCAAAATTAACATATTTTTAGTTCATTTTAATTTCGACGATATTATACGGCTTGTTTAACCTTATTCCATGATTAAAAACATGATTAAACAAATTGCAATTGGACAGAAATACACTCTCTCAATAGAGGTAGGAAATTGTAATTAGACCACTTTGACAATCTATAATAGTCTATTTTGTCATCCAAATCAATGTTTATTTTAACACAATCCAAATTTATTAGTCTTTATTTCTTCGAACCATAATCCTGTATGAAATATGTAGTCATTCACTTCATAAATTGAACATATTTTTACGATACATAGAGGACTCCAAGCAAGATTTATGGAACTCAGATCTATAACTCCATTGTTTTGATCATTGACCTATAAAGTTCATAAAAAACATGTTTTTATTGTTTACATTAATATACATAATAATAAATGTGTGAGATGATTATAGCTTATATGTTTTTTAAACCATTGGGGGAAATCTTCTTCAGTCATCTTATTTATGTCACTTTGTTTATTTAAAGTTAACAAATCTGCAAATAATTTGCTCATAAATTGAAAAAATTGTGAATCAAGTGAAAATTAGATTTGAATTACACAACAAACAAGTTGTTATAACTGGCAGAAAGTTTCATGGAAAGTTACTTCACAAATTTTTTTGGAAAATAATTCCATCGTGATAAGAGTTGATTGAAATTTTGCTCGTCTTTGATCTATTTTCTGATGAAAAATATGTCAAAAAAACTTTTATCAATTTTTTTTTCCCTGAAAAATATATCGGAAACTTAATATATATCGAGTTGACCCTAACCCCTCTCCAATTTCCTCTTTTTCTTCCTCTGATTTCCTCTTGATCAAACTCAAGAATTGTGTCTGAACTCATTAAAATTGTCCCAAAATGGTTTATTATCTTGATTTCTCTTTAGAATCAAATGTTAAACTCTTCCACTAGCTTCCCCAAGCATGCATAAAAGTCAAAGGACATTCCTCATTAACATATTTTCATGGCATTTGAAAAATACAAATTTTTAGTTTTCTCAGAATTGAAGAAACATATATTAAATTATATATGGAGCTTTTTCTTTTGTGGAAAAGTTTAGCCTTAGTGGCAACTAAGTTAGAAAGTAATTGTTAGGGTGTGCTTTAAAGTTAGAAAGTAATTGTTCGCATTCTTTTATCACCTGGAATGAGAACAATACCTTATATGATATATTGCATCTATCAAATTTACTAAGGCTCATTTCTTTGCTTGTATACAAATAAAATGTCTTAGAAAATAATAGCTTTATTTTCACTTATTTTGAATATGGAAAGAGCTTATGATAGATTTAATTTTATTATATTTCAGATTTTATATTTATTTTCTCCAATGTTTTGCAATTATCTGAGATGAAATAATTTTAACCAGCTTTCTTATAAAATTACAACTTTAAAGCTATAGTAGTTACAAATGCTATTAATCACCAACATTGATCATGTTGGTTAAATTATATTAAAGGTGAGACCAATATCACTTAATATTTTTTATTAATTATTTAATTTCTTAAAACATACACAAATAATCGTTGCAATTAAAGGCTCAACAACGAGTATTTGCATGTTGCACTTCATTAATACAAAACACATAAGACAATAATTCAACACAAACATGTTTCTAGATTGTTGAACTCAGAAACAAACACAGACACGCGCTCACTCACATATACATATATGTATACATATATATAAAGATGTATATAAATATATATATCATCAGATTATTAGATTGTGTCATGCGCCCACCGTTATTGTAAGTTTCCTTCTTATAAATCTTGATATCCCTCCATCTTGACTCCATATAGTTGCTCTCATTTACTTGTCCATAAACACCACACTTGAAATAAAAATGACTTGGACCTTTTCCATCTGCTTCTTGCTTTTTAACACCATTAATGAAAGTACTCACCTTATTAGCATCAGCATCATGTATCACATTCACTCTTACCCATCTATTGTAAATATTAGGCTCCACTTGTTGATCAAAGTAGAACCTCAATTCACCATTATAAACCATTAGTACCAAATCTGTTCCTGGATTCTCTCCCTTTGCTCGGAGAATTTTCATGATAGCCGTGCCAGTAGTTCCATTTGGCACAAAAGTATGCCCCTCAAACTGCCATATTCCGCTAGAATAATCCAAATGCTACAACAATAATATCAAAGAAAAATATAATAGTAGATATAAGTAAAGTTTGAAAAAACATATCAGAATTTAAGCTAGTAAAATCAATTACCATGAAACGAATCTCAGTTCGTGGAGGTGTTTGGTTTCCAACTTCAAACGGCTTGTCAGTGGAGTAGACCCACATGCGGTGCACGCCATAAACAAAGCTGTAGCGGTCTGCTAAAGGTACATCGTATGGCCTCTGTATTTTAAAATTTTCATCAGATAAGGGCAAAGGAACAAAACCATCGGTGGGATCAGCGTTGCAGAAAAGAAGAAAATCCGTCGTTAAGCTGAAAGAAAGTAGAAATGTATGGAATAGAAGCCAAACAGCAGAGGCCATTTCTGGATATAAACTGCTTTTTTAACTGTGCCAAGATAGGTTGTAGTTTACATCCGATTACTTGAAGTAGAAAGGTAGAGGTGAGGGATATATATATATATATGCAGAGTCTTCAAGCGGGGGATAAGGGGAATAAAAAAACATATTTACATGCATACCATTCAATTTCTATGTATTTACATATGTAACACTCAAAATTTGTTTTTTATTCTTCTACCTCACAAATCTTTCATTTATTTTTATTTTAACTTTAAGAAAGTGAAATAAATTTTTCATGCATAGGTAAGGTGGTATATATGTAAAAAAAATTGAAATTTTGGTGTTAGATATGTGAATACATATGAATTGAATGGTATGTATGTTAATTTTCTAAAAACAAAGGATGGTTATGAGAGTCTTAAAGCACTAGGATATAAAAGACTTGTTAGGGATTGGAGGACGGTTATCGTGATTGTTTTCTTCCTAGCAGATCATTCAATTGCACCCTGCGACGCCAATTGCTTGCAGAGTAGCATGAGTTTTACAATATATATATATATTTGAAATAGTTGACTTTTTCTCTTTCTTTTTTGTTTTTTATTGGTCAATTTCAATGCATGGAACTTTAATCTGGCCTAATTAATTTTATAATGGGTCTTAATAATTTAAAGAAATAACTTTTTAACTGGTCATAATTGAAATTATAAAGTTGACATTAAGCATTTGGTCAAATCTAAATAAGTTTTTTTTGGTTAATTTAACCACTAATAAAAAGGTTTTAAACCTTCATGTTTACTTATTTATTATTTTATTATTAATACGCCATCAATAAATTTTCATAATTTTGCACGAATTTCAAGATAATTTTTAAACATAAAATGCTAAATTTTCAATTAAAAATCATCCAGAACCATGATTTCAATAAACTTGCATTCAAACTGATTAGCTCGACGAGATTGACCAAGTGAAACCAAAATTAGTCCAATTTGAGTCAAATCAAGCGCAGATGAAACAGTCACATTAATTTTCAGTGTGTAATTGGAATGTCAAATGGATTTTGAATCTGATATGTTTATAGACAAATCAAGCATCTTGACATGACGAATCCAACGAGCCATCGTTCACTCACATCTGTCATCATTAAGGCTCTTAAAAGTTCACTAGACACCATCTGATCGAGAGAACCTCTCTGGGTTGTCCACTAAAATAGTCTGGATTTCTTCCTTATTTGGAATCAAAACTATTTAAATAGAGCTCTACACCCCACTCAGCCCAACACC